CTGCTATGATACTATTTAATTTTAACTTTAGTTCTCTATTTAAAATTATGCATGTTAAAAATACTGGTACGAGGCAAATGCTTGTTTTATGGCTTAATGAGTAGTGGTCGCTGCAGTTTTGACACTGCTGGTACACTGTTGAACTTTGTAGTTGAGAGGGCTCTATTAAAAATGCATTGTGTTTAGATAATATGCTCCAAGGCAAACTTATTGGGCATCAAAGCAGTTGCCTTCAATGCTTCTGTGAAGTTCAAGCCCTGAGTGTCTATTGTAATCTGTGATGCCATTGATCAGAAACAATTTTGTTTGACACATGCATTGGAACTTCTGAAAAATGTGATCATCATCATCACATATCATCATACATATACATCAAAGTTGCATACCATATCTTATTGTATCTTGTATCTTACAAATCTTTATTGAAATTGATTATCAGTGCTTACATGGATCTAGGCCAACTGTCTCCCCAATAGTTAGGGAATATGTAAGAACCATCTAACTGCATGTAATGTAGTTTATAAATATTGTGCAATTTTAGTTCTTTTCTAAAATCAACAATTTTGTTGTTGGTTCAATGATACCATTATATTACACCCTGCAATTTTGTGTGTATTTGAACTTTATTTATGCTAGGCAGTTACTAATATTTAGGTGATTGTGTAAACACAAAATAAAGTAATACATTTTTATTAGCAATCAAAGTAAGTACTAGTAACCTAAATAAATGCTATTCAAATAATATGCTCCTATAATTAATGCTGATTGGAAAGACCATGGTATCAGTAAATCATTTTCACTCTATTTCGTAATATGTTTTGTGAAAATTCCATTGTACATCTCTATAATCATGTTTTATCCTCTCTTGCTGCATTGTATGTTATAAATAAACTGTGATAATTTTCATGCATGCGTAATTTTATTATTCAATATGTTGTGATCCACAATATGGATGTAAATCAAAAAGAAAGTGTGTCATTATAACCATCATGATTATTTATTATTTTTGACCTGCAGTAAATTTAAAATAGATTTGAATTATATGTGTATTGTCATTGATACATGCTTTGTCATTGAGAACAGATCTGCTGTTGTTGTTGTTTATATGCATGTAAAACATAGAAGCTTAACTGCATGTGGATGTAAATAGAAGTACTAGTTATTACCAGTATGGTGTACCGGTATATATTTAATCTGCTCCAGTATGACATCATCTAGGTGCATCTAGGGAGTCATATCTTTATTATTGACCTGATGTGTGGCTTACTCATGTTTAGTGTGTTGGCTTAGCATCAGAGAGATATTACACAATTGACTACTGTGTTTAGCTGTACAAAAAATATGCTAAAATGAAGAGACATCATTTTAGTATAGCTAGAATGGTGGGGTAACCTGTCAATCACCTGTTTAGGTTTAATACCTTGCAGTGCGCTGAAGCTAAAAAAAAATGTACAAGTGAATAAATAAATAAATAAATAAATAAATAAATAAATAAATAAATAAATAAATAAATAAATAAATATCTGTCCCTCAAGCCTGTACTCCTCAGTGTGTCTCATGAGTGAGGTATATTTTTAGCAAACATCTATAGGCCAAGATAAATTTATTATTTGTGACCTATGGATTGACCTCTGCATGTGGCTGGGTGTGTGTTCATTCACCCTTCAGTCTGTCCAGATCTGTATCTCAGGGAATGCTTTGGCTGATCACATTCAACCTTCACAAATACATCACATATTTTGTGCAACATATGCCTATCCATTGTTTCATGATCTGATTCAAGATGGCCGAATGGTGGTCATTTTTGCTCTAAAAATTTATAAAAATCATGCATTTTGGAACCGAATCATGATTGTGTATGGCTGGATTTGGATTTTGCAATTTTCTGCATATTACTCTTCTTTAAAAACAGATTGATGGTGAATTTAGTCTATATACTGTTGACTAATACTAAAAACAATTAATTATAGACAGATTTTGAAACAAAAAATTGTCACTGCTATATGTGGTAAAATATGCACAAACATCAAAAATGCACAAGTACCGGTATCATCCTTCATTGACAGAGGGCACCATTTCAGCCTAGTTTTATCCCAATCTGATTAAAATCTGATGTAGTGTACGGGCTTTAATTATTTTGGCTATAAACTTATTTTAATTTTAATTTTTATTACTTTTGTTATTAATGCCATTTTATTTTATTTTATTTTATTTTATTTTATTTTATTTTATTTTATTTTATTTTATTTTATTTTATTTTATTTTATTTTATTTTATTTTACTTTGATTTTGATTTTGTGATTTTTTTAATTCCGCCCTACCTACATCTGAGCCGATGCCTATGTAACGAGATTTCAACGAGACCCACTATCGACGATTTTAGTCAACGAATCACATACCTCCTTCTATAGCGCACATGATGACGTCACCGGGCGGAATCGGGTGGCAAACACACTCAAATAAAATGGCGGATTATACCGACCGAGAATAACACGGCTTTTCGGTAAGTTTATCATTGTCAAATGCAACGAAAGTCATTTTTATGTTAATATTGTGGCTCGAATGGTTCGACTTTAGATCGTTATTTTGCATAGTTGTTCTGGGAGTGACGATTTTTTTCCGCCGTTTCGACCGAACACCATGTCTTTTCCAG